TTGTTGTAAAGTTTCAGGGTAACTTACCTCTGTTCGGTTCATTGTTACGACCGCGACCATCCCGGAGCAACAACACCGCAGCGCTAGCCGGTTAGCAGTCGCGGGTAGCATTTAGCCTAGCTCCTTAGCCTGAGCTAACCAGGTAACGATAAACTCTGTGGGCGTGGCTCAGTTGTCAGTCTTCACTCGGCCCGCCTAGCGTCCACTCGCGCGCCTCCTCTTTGCCCATTTATGGGTTAGCCAGGAACTAGGAGGAGTCAGGCCCCGGCAAGATGGCGCCGGGTGAAACGCCCACTGCGAGCCTCATTTTCGCTCTTCAGAAACCAACGGGTGACGTCACGGACACTACGTCCATCTTTATATACAGTCTATGGTTTAAACACTTCTCCTAGCCACAAACAGAGTCCGACAGACATGATTTTTACATCTGGGGAAACTAGAGTTTGTTTCCTACGCACACACGTCACTCTGACATCTCTCGGTCCAGTAGTTTAGGCTGAGTCAATTTACCGAGAAAAGTTTTCCAGTCTCATTTCTCCATTGACTCCCATGTTAATTTTTGAAAAAAAAGTCAGAAATGAGAAAAACAGAAAAAAATGTCTAACTCGCTCCCACGGTCTCATTTCTGAACTCTCTCTGAATAGATCTATACGTTCGGGGAAGTCTTGGGATTCTCACGGTGTTTTCATTTCTCAGATAGGACTTATAGTTTCTGAGTGAGAGACATTTGTTTGAAGAGTGGTGCTAGAGCACAGCCCTCTGGCTTTTACACTGACTTCAATGTAGATCTCCAAAAAAGATTCCTGATGAGAAAACTAAATTTCTAAATCGCTCTTACGGTCTCATTTCTTAACTCTTATTAAATAAAAACATTCTTCACAATGTGTTCATTTCTCAGATAGGACTTATAGATGTTGAGTTAGAAGCTTTTGTTTGAGCGGTGGTCTGAAGCTTGTTCAGCTCTCCAAAGTGAGGAGACAACAGGTGTTCCTCATCTAATCAGTGAGTAACCATAGCAACCCCATAGACTGACAGAGGGAGAGTCTCCTCTTTAAATTTACTCAGATCTCCATTTTCACCAGGCTCTGCTTTGGCCCAGTGGTTAAGGCACTTGATCATGTGACGTGAGTCTGGGTTCAAGACATTATAATAGAATGTTACCAGCAAACATGTAATGAGCCTATATTTTGAAAATAAAAATAAACAACCCTCCCTCATTGTAATAGAATGTTATCAGGAAGTCTGTACAAAGCCTTTATTTTGAAAATAAGCCCCCCCGATAGTAACTGGATGTTACCAGGGAGTCTGTACAGAGCCTATATTTTGAAAATAAGCCCCCCCATAGTAATAGAATGTTACTAGGAAACATGTAATGAGCCTGGTTTTTCAAAATAAAACCCCCAGATGGTTACAGGATGTTCCCAGGGAGCCGGAAAAAGAGTGGATTTTCAAAATAAAA